AAAAGCACACAAACCAAAAACGAACAGCGGTGCGAAAGTTCCAGACAGCCCACAGGGGAAAGCCACCCCAGCGAGAGCCAATGCACCAACGATGGCACAGCCCACCCTCTGACTCAATTGGGCACCATGATCGACGCCCATTGCCACCCCCTCTTCCTCTTACCCTCCCAGCCCCGAGGCAAAGCCAAACGACCTGTGCGATCGGCTCGTGTGTTCTGAGGACCCGAACAGCGGCAGCATACGACAACGCGGAACAGATGGTGCTCGATGCGACTCGCCAGGGCCAGAGGCGCAGCCGCCTGCCCTCTCGGGACGCAAAGAAGGGGAGAGGCCCGAAGGCCCCTCCGCCCCCGCCGTCGATTCGTCCTGAAAGGGTTGTGCACTCCCGCCCCCCATCTCCAAGGATGGCCCGGAAGAAGGCCAATGAGACACCACTGGAGGCGCCAACAACACAGCACGACCTGGCGCATCTCCCCTCACAGCCCCAAATGGGGCACCCCCATCGGGGGTTGGGGCTGGCCGCGTCCTTTGCAATTATCCCTCAAGCCCAAACCAAAAACATCAGGACCGAGACCCAGAACCCTGGCCGGGGAGGTGAGCCGCAGCGATACTGTGAACCCCAGGTCATTGCACCGACCTTGCAGACGTGCTGCAGCGGATTTTCCCGTGGATTTCTGTCAATGCAGAACCTCGAAGCGGCGAGCGAAAAACGAAGTGAATTTCACGTGGATGTTTTGTAGTCTTAATTCCTGGCCAAAAAAATCCGCGCGAAATGTACTTCGAAATCCGGAACGAACTTCTCCAGGGCAATCCAGGCCAATCCCATTGTTTCCGAACGAAATCCGCTCGGGGGGGGAGGGGCAAGGTCTCACCGCCGCCTGCCCCCCACCCTCCGGGGAGGGTCCCTGCCCCAGAAATGCGACATCCCGAGTTTTTCAATACGTGGCCCCTGGAAGTCCGGACCCCTTTCTCGGGACCAGTTTTTCATCCCGAGTCGTTTTTTGACAGTCCCGAGGCCTGGCGAGGGCTGGGCCCAAAACGGCCACAAAAACCTCCCGTCCTGATTTTGTTGCGACGCGAGGGCTTCCAGGGGCCGAGAACAGCCAAAAACCTCCCGTTATAATTTTTCCCGACGCGATCATGCATGGGGGGCCTGGACGCGTGATCCGAGCAGCGGCCACGAGGAGGCCTGCGCACCTGCTACTCCTGCCCCCCCAGACAGGACCGCGTCGTAAAATTAGGTCGGGCATGTCCTCCTACAGGCGGAGCTTGAACGAATAACGAAAAAACTCAACAGCAAAAAACAGCAGCAACAGCAGCAACAACAACAACAACAACAACAACAACAACAACAACAACAACAACAACAACAACAACAACAACAACAACAACAACAACAACAACAACAACAACAACAACAACAACAACAACAACAACAACAACAACAACAACAACAACAACAACAACAACAACAACAACAACAACAACAACAACAACAACAACAACAACAACAACAACAACAACAACAACAACAACAACAACAACAACAACAACAAACAACAACCACAACAGCAGCAGCAGCAACAACAACAACAACAAAACAACAACAACAACAACAACAACAACAACAACAACAACAACAACAACAACAACAACAACAACAACAACCACAACAACAACAACAACGACGACGACGACGACGACAACAACAACAACAACAGCAGCAGCAGCAGCGGCAGCAGCAGCAGCAAAAACAACAACAACAACAACAACCACAACCACCACAACCACCACCACCACCACCACCAGCACCGCCACCACCACCACCACCACAACAACAACAACCATAACAACAACAACAACAACAACAACAACAACAACAACAAAACAAAACGTCCCATAATATGTTTTACTAGTTTGCAGATTCCTCCTGTAGAGGGACAAGCCCGACTTAATCGTGAAAAGAACAGGACGGGAGGTCTTTGGCCGTCTTCGTCCCCTGGGAGCCCTCGCGGGGCCTCGGGAGACCGTCCACAAGACGACTCTAAAGATGAAAAAAAAGCCGGTCCCAGGGGAAGGGGTCGGGATTTCCCTCTCCCTGGGGCCCCGCACGGAGAAAATCTGGACGTTGCCTGTCTCGGGGAGACGTTGAGACTCGGGTACGGGGGACTCGGATTCGGCAGACGGGGCCATTCATAAAAATGACGAGGCCCAATTTGAAATTTGACACGAACTCACGCTGCAAACATCCCACGAGAACGGGACCGTCAAAATCCAGGGCGCGCTCGTCAAAAACGTCGACACACCCGAGCTCCGGCTCACTCGAGTCTTACGTTTCCCCGACTTGCTGGGCCTGGTCCTGGCTTGCCTTGGCAGTCATGTCGGTGAGCATCTGGACGACCTTCTGCACGGGCGACACGAGGGCCGCGCCGCTCGCCCCCCAGGCCACCGGCGCGCTCAGCAGCGCCAGCAGCACCGGCGGCCAGGCGCGCAGCAGCATGGCGGGGGCTTCGTTCGGGCGAACGGCGGCCGAAGGGCGTCCCGCGGCCCTGAGGTCCAGGCGCCGCAGCTCTTTCGCGGCGGGCTCTTCTGCCTTGCTGCGGGCCCCCCCGACCCCCCTCGCGCCGTGAAACAATCACGACGGAAGGTTTTTCGCTGTTTACGGCCTCCGGGGGCCCTCACCGGGCCTCGGGACCGTCCCAAAACGACTCAGGATGAAAAACCGGTTCAGGGCAGGAGGAGGAGGAGGAGGAGGAGGAGGGAGGAAGGAGGAGGAGGAGGACGACGACGACGAGGACGACGAGGAGGAGAAGGAAGGTTGACGTCATGACCAAAAAAATGACGTCGGAGGTCTGGGCCTGGGGCCCTTCCCGCTCGCCACGGCTCGAAATAAGCGCCGCAGAGCGCTGGGGTCCAGGGCTCCGGTCGCAATGCTTCGCGATGTGTCGCTAGGGGAACAAAGAATGACATAAACATAAAAAATCTGAGGTCCGCTCGGATTTCTCGGATCGGCACTGGACCACCCTCCCTGGCGCGCGGAGCGCGCCAGGGGCGGCGCCAGAGGCGCCGCCAGGGGGGTCCAGCGCGGATCCGAGAAATCCGCGTGGACCTCCGAATTTTTATGGTTATGTCATTGTTCGTTTCCCTATACGTGATAATCTCGGAATCCCCACGACCGCACCGCACGGTCGGTCACCACAGGGCTTTGGGAGCCTGGAGGCCCCAATCGCCCGAAACGCCCTCGGAGAACGGCCCGATTCCAAAAACCGCGCGGTGACTCCGAATCCCCACGGACTCACGACACGGCGTGGTCGCCACACCGTTTGCCAGCGGCGAGCCCAGGGGAAATATGAAGGGGCGGGCCTTCTCCGAGGGCTCGGGAGTCCCCCGGCCGTCTGAAAAGTGTTCTCGGCCTTCCCCAGAGGCAGACAGCTTCTTCTCTCAGAAGGCCCGAGGGCCTCTGAGAAGCCCCACAGCCTTCTGAGGAAGGTCTTCTCCTTCCCACTTCCTCCCTTCGCTCGCCACCGAGCTTCCCAAACATGCGACGTCCTGATGTTGTTCAATACGTGGCCCCTGGAAGTCCCGACGCCTTCCCCGGGACCGGTCCTGAGTCGTTTGGTTGACGGCCCCCGGGCCCGGCGAGGGCCCCTAGCGGTGAAACATGGAGAGAGAAAGAAAAGAAGGAAAAGCAACAGAATCCGTCTTGAACTTTTCAATACGCTGGATCTCTGGGATCGTGTTCGCAGCGTCGGATCTCAGGTGCGCCGAAAAGGGGGGGGGGGGGGGGGCGGGCGCGGCCGGGCGGCGGCCCGCCCTCCCGCTGTGGAGCCGGCCCGCCGCGGTCCCGCTGGAGCACCCGCCGGGGCCCAGCCGAGCTCGACCGCCCGGTCGGGTCGAGGCCGCACGGGCGGCACGGCAGGGCCAGTCGGCATCGAACCCAGAGATCCGACGTGTCAAAAAAATCAAGACAGAGGCTTTGCTCCATTTTCGGCCTCTACGGGCCCTCACCGGGCCTCGGGACCGTCAAAAAACGAGTCAGGATGAAAAACCGATCCCAGGGGAAGGGTCGGGACTTCCAGGGGCCCCGCAATGAAAAAATCAGGACGTCGCACGTCTGGATATGGGAACCGAACCGATTCGAAGCGTAACAGCAGGTGGAGCGCCCCTCCGACCCGGGTAAGCGCGCGGTGGCCCGCTGTGTGTATGTGCCGTGAGTGTCCCGAGGTGTCCCGCTGGATGTCCCGTTGGCGTCACCCGTCGGTGTTCCTTCGGCGATAAACAAACGGTGACCAGGGCTGTCCCGCCTTGGCATCGACAGCGAAGCCGAGAGTGAGATCGAAAATGAGACCGCTAGAATGGGGATGGATAGCGAGATCAAAAGTGAGATCGGCAGGGAGGTCGATTGTGACATTGGTTGTGAGATAGAGAGCGGGGACGATAGTGACATTACCTCGCAGCGCAACATCGTCATCACGCGTCGTCGCTAACTCGAGAGCGCGTCACCAGCATCGTCATCATCAGACCCATCACATTTGCCAGCTGGTTCTGTACCCCCATCCCCCAACCTCCTTATCACCAGAAGGGTGGTCATATCGGCGAAATAGTAGAACCACATCGTCAAAGGAACTTCAAGGGAGCTCCAGAGGAATTTCAGAGGAGCCCCATTTGAAGCTGACACAACTCTCCTCGGGGATAAACAGAAACCGCTGTAGTAAAACGTGGTTTTGTGAAAACGACCTCGGGTCCAAACCTGGCGGGCGCAAGCCTGCAAAATGACGGCCGCGGCGCCCTCTCGGGAACCGGAAACGGACAATTCACTAATCGACGTGTCAGTGTGGGGGTTCTGTCCACCCCCGACCCATTCGGAGCTGCCACAACTCTCCCTCCGTCCATCTCGGGTAGGATCTCCAAGTCTCCTGGGATCCAAGGCAAGCCCGTCGTCGGGACCCTCCTCATGCTCCTCCTGCCCACCCAAATTTGATCTTGGGTCGCGGGCCCCTGTGGGGGACATCTCTTCCGCCTGGGCCCTGGTGCCAGAAGCGTTGCCTCCTCCTCCTCCTCCTTCTCCTCCTCCTCCTTCTCCTCCTCCCCCTCCTCCCGATGAATTGCTTCCTCGGGTTAAGTCGGATCGGGCCGCATCGGTCAGGAGTCGGAATCGAATCGAAGCTGCCGCGCCAGGATGCACAAAACAGCACCATGCCAGCCTCGCGCCGCACCGGATCGACGGAACATCGAAATCGAATCGGGCCGGCTGAAATCGATATCGACTCGGATCGATCGTATCAAAAAAGGCCCTGCCGCATGGGGGGCCGACCGACCGACCGACCGCCGGGGGCCCCTCCGACTGCATGCCCGAGCGACCGCCCGCTGCCACACCTCCGATGACAGGGGTCAGAAGCTCTGGCCATTGATCCTGAGAACGTGTTAGCGCCAACGTGTGCTTGTCCACCAAGGCCCTCCAAGACGACGCAGCCGATGTAATGAGAGCCGGAAGGGGTAAACACACATTCGACGAACAAATGTTCTCAGGTTGGAGGCGGCCGGGGGGTCTGAACTGGATGGGCTCCGAAAAATCTGTCAAGAAGGCGGGCTAAGGGTAAATCCGCTCACTCAAAAGCTATACCCAGACCTCCACTGGCGTCCATCAGGTGAGGCATTTCACCGTGGATCCGTTCTGGCGGTCTGAAGGACCGAAAGCGGCCCCCAGAGGCCGAAAGAAGCAAAACGCCTCTTCGAACCCAGCACCTCGAGCCTCTTCCCCCCCTTTCAGGTGGCCAGAACCAGTGCTGGGCCACCACAGACCCCGAGCCAGCTCCAAGGCCGAACGGGATCAACACTCATAGAGGCCTCCCTGATGGGGTCCGAGTAGATAGGGTCGAAAGATCGCGCCGCATCGCCAAAGCATCTTCGATGTATCGGCGATACATCGGCGATGCATCGGCGACGTCGGCGATGCATCGGTGACGTCGGCGCGGGGAAACACGGGCTCCACATCGAGCCGCATCGGCGATGCATCGGCGACGCGGCGCGATCCGCCGACCTCATCTTATTGGACCCCATCCAGGAGGCCTAGAATGTATTGCTCTCCCTGGATACTATCCGGCGATACCATCCCGCGAGGGACAGCATTGCTAGCCCCTCGCGAGGAGGAGGAGGAGGAGGAGGAGGAGGAGGAGGAGGAGGAGGAGGAGGAGGAGGGAGGAGGGAGGAGGGAGGAGGAACACCTTCGGCTAACACATGTCCTGAGGATCATCGATCTGGGGCCGCGGACCGACACACGCACCCGCTCGAGGCCCCCACCCCGCCCGCTCCCCGAAGGCGCCCACGGCCTCGCGGCTCTGCCGCGGCGCAGCCCCTCGGAAGCCGAGGGCCCCCCCTCCGGGGCACCGCCCCGCCCGAGCACCGAGCCGCCCCTCCGAGGGCTCCCTGCCCGCCCCGAGCCGCTCCTCGAGGGACCGCGAGATCCGACGTTCCCCGAGATGCGGGCGTCACGACCTGTTCGCGCTGGGCGTTTCGCCATCACAAACACTACCTGTTCGCACCGGGGCGCTACAACTTGTTCAACCGGGCGCTACAACTTGTTCAACCGGGACGACGTGCCGGGCCCAGGAACCATCACAAATTGAAAAATGCCGCAACAAGATGGGGTCTAGCGCTCCGGTGCTGAGTGTTGTCGCGACGTAGCAATGGTGCCGCAACGTGGGATCTCAGGGTTGCGCAAAAAGTACAACATCGCAAAAATTAAGCCAGACGCTGGACGAAAATTCCGAATGTGAGGAAATAATAGGGCCTTCCTGACGGATCTGCTCGGCTCCGGCTCGGCTCTAACTCAACTCCATCTCAACTCTAGCTCGACTCCATCTCGACTCAAGTCGACGGACGCCCGACGCAGCATCGTCACGCGAGCGGAGCAAATGGCTCCAGGAAGGATCCCAGCATCCAGAATCCAGAGATCCGATGCCTTAATCTTTTCAATGTGGGGTCCCTGGAAGTCTCGACCCACTCCTGGGGACGAGTTTTTCACCCCGAGTCGTGATTTCACAATCCCTGGGCCCCGCGAGGACCCCTGGAGGCCGGAAAAGGCCAAAAGCCTCCCGTCGTAGTTTTGTTCGCGACGCGAGCGTGTCTGTCAGAGACATGCTCAGGTCGCGAAAAAAACGACATGCTCTAAGAACATGTCGTGCAAACCACAAAGGGTTCGTAGAACACTCTCGGGTGGGCCTATAGGTAAGCCAGGACACTTCGCCACTGCTTCAGGAGCCTCGGAATCGTCAGCGGCACCGAAATGGGTACTCACGAACGGCATTAACGGGCACTTTGGAATTCGCCGAAAGGTGCCACTTTAGGGCCTGTTTCTGGCGTTGCAGCCTTGCCCACATTGGGTAGGGTTGGGTTCGCAGTGTCACTGGCCAAACTACCCGTTACTAAAGTCCCCGTTGGGCGCTGAGATCGAGTCGGACCGAGCCGGCTGGAGTCGACGTCGAGTCGAAGCGATCGGCT